GCATTTCCCTGCAACGAGAAGGGCACCTCCCTGAAATCACTTTTTTCAGGTTGGGATCCCTGCAAATGGTTACTGAGATTATCATTGTGTTTTATTGCTACAATGCTAACTTTGATGAGAATTTCTGCCATTGCCACGGGGTATAGGCACAGTGGCAAATTGACATCTGCATTGGCAAAAAATTCACTTTGTTTTGATTAAGATTTTTCGTTATTTCGGTATTCGGGTGAGAAAGTCAATTTGTTTTGTTATTTGGATGTATCTGAATCCAACAATTTTGTTCATTTTGGATGCGTTAGATAATTCCGAACGAACATTACCACCGAGCCAGGATTGTGGGGGAAGAGGTCCTTGTCTTATTCGACATGGGGACACGGTGCTTTTCCAGGAGGTCCCACTGGCAAAGCACCCTCCAATGTTGAGGGCATGTGGCCTGGTATGGTGCAGGAGGGGGGCGCTCGTCCCCCAGCCTTTCCTGCTCTGCCATGCTGCTGCTTGGATCAAGGGTCTGTGTTTTGTTTTTGGTGTGGGGGTCCCCCCTAAAATTCTTAACAAACCTAAAGGGCCTGGTATGAATTGGGGAGGAGACTCCACGCTTTTTTTTTTTAACGTTTAACAACATAAATTCATTTAGAATGACATTCGGGAAAAATCTTGGATGCATCGGAATTTCGGTATCGGAGAATTTCTGATACGTTCGGATTCATTATATTATTCATTCGTTAATACAGATGCATCCAAATGTCTGAATTTTGAACATTTTTATGAAATGCAGATGCCAGAGTGAGAATTTGGCGGAAACAGCATGAAAGCATGCACTCCACATGCATGAGTACAACCCTTCAAGCTGGTGGGGGCAGTGTTATGGTTTGGGGCATGTTTTCCTGGCATGATTTGGGCCTGTTTAATTCGTGTGGAACAACATCTGAATAGCACAACAGACCAAAGTATAGTTGCTGATCAAGTTGATCCTAACACGTTGATGGCGTATCCCAATGGCGATGGCTTCTTCCAACAAGACAATGCGCCATGCCACGGTGCTCGTATTGTGCAGGAGTGGTTTCAAGAACATGGATACTTTACCTTGCTTTAGGTGGCCCCCCACAATCACCAGATCTCAATCCAATTGCAGCATTTGTGGGGTGAAGTTGAAAGAGCCATAAGGCAGCTGGTTCCACAACCATCAAATCTCACAGAACTGGACAGTGCTATTCATCAGGCATGGTGTAAGATTCCTCGCATCACCTTTCAACATCTCGTGGAGTCAATGCCAAGAAGAATCGCCGCAGTATTGAAGGCAAAAGGTGGCCCAAGGAAGTACTGATGGGGTGGTCATAATAATCTGGCCACTCAGTGTAATTACAGTGCCATGGATGGGTATATTTACTGTCGCATTAGCTGGAATTCTGTTGCAAGCATCTACTTCTCTTTCATTAAACAAAACTTTCTATAGTATTATTTTAGCTAATGTTTATTTTGAGTTTTCCTTTTTTCTACTTTGAGGTGACGTTCCCAATCTCAGTTTCATACTAAAAATAATGCTCTCTTGAAACTTATTTATGCCCTAATGTCTTTAAAGGTTTCTTTTTTGCCTCATTCTATATACTATGCTGTTTGTTCTCTATTCCACACCCCCTCATTCTATATACCATGCTGTAGATTCCTTATTCCACATCGCCTTATTCTATATGCATGCTGTAGATTCCTTATTCCACATCGCCTTATTCTATATGCATGCTGTACATTCCTTATTCCACATCGCCTTATTCTATATGCCATGCTGTATGTTCCCTATTCCACAGTGCCTCTTTCTATGCACCTTGTTTTATTCCACACTGCAGGTTATATGAGACTGTTAGAGATCACTGCTATTATCCTTTTTTTGCAAATCAATGCTCCCACATTTGTTCTCTCTACAGTCCCTTTAAAAATGACTTGTGACACATTTGATATTTCTGGCAGCAAAATCCATTATAAAAGATCAGAAGCAAAAAAACATTAAAAAAAAAAAAAGAGACAAGGGAGGGATTGCATAGAAAACAGCGAGACCGTGTTAACCACTTGCCGTCCGCCCATTGTAAATACACAAGCGAAAGGCAACCTCTTCCCAGCGGGTGGACGTACATGTACGGGATTCTTTTTCTGCTCGAGGCACAAGCAGAATCCCGCTGGCAATGTAAACAGCCGGGATCGGCTATAACATACAAGCGTTTGGTCAACACACAGGGATCACAGGGTAGGTTAGGAACATTTTAAATGACAAAAGCTCCTCAACCGCAACCCAACCAAATCGACATACTAAGGAATTGGTCACTGAACACAACCAACGTACTGAAAATTGTTATCC